GCTCTACAGTAACCTGTCTTTCACGAGTGCGGATATTAGTGGGCTGAACACTTCCTGTATCTCGAAGTCTGTGGTACACTTGCACAAATGTCCTTCTGTCTGGGTGTACCCGTTGGCGAAACCTGTCGCGATAAATTTGAGCTGCAAGATTTGAATTCTGACGAGCTTCACCGTAAATTAACAACATGTCGCCGAACTCTTGATTCGAGAACATTGTAAATCAATCAACACGACGACGTACGCGAACAAAAACAAAACAACATACTAACCACTGATACCATTTGCGGTCGATTGCCGGTTCGATGAGAGTGATGATGACTGACGCGCTGTTGTCATGTGTGTTTTAAATATTCAGCTTAATAAAACTTACTTACTGACTACAAATTTTGGCTTAACTTAGAAAAACTTAATGACATTTATTTGTTAATTACCCAATTTAAAAACGTTTTAGATTAGATTATAAAAATTAGTAAGATTGTGGTGATTGTGGTCTATATAAAGCACTTAAAGTTGTAATTTATAAAGTCGTTTAGACAAAAATCTATTGACCTTCGGACCATGGGTCATATTACCCTATTACCCATTTCAATAATGACTACCATAACGTTTACACCCTGTATAAAATGTAACACCTAGCATTATTTATTGAAAATAATAAAATAAATAAATACTTGTAAACATATTGCTATCATGCTGATAAAATGTTGGTGTCATCCCGAGCCGTACCTTCTTTGTAAACGCTTTTTCGTTATATCAGGATCCGAACATGAATATGTTTACTCAATATTCAGTGATTTTTCTGTGTTGGTTCCATTTGTTTCTTTTGCATTATCATGCCAGAGTTCGCAGATGCGCTAATTTCACTCAACTTTCCGGGTTTGAGAGGTGTCGGATAAATAATCGTTTTACCGGATTTTCTTTTAGAGAAATCGCTAATCAGGTGAATCGAGCCGAAGATACTGTAATGAAATGTTGTCCAGCGTGGTTCCAGGAAGGCCTAAATCGACGAGTCAGAGGCAGACTACAGAGCGACATGATCGTTATTTGAGGCAACTAGCACTTAGATATCTATTTTCTACAGGGTGCGGCAGAGAGGATGGACGGTTTTAAAAAAATCATAAAATAGTTAATTTTTACTCGAAAACAAATTTGTTGATGGAATCAGGTTCACAAGGAAATAGCATTTGAGACAGTCAAGCGTGGAAAATCACATCAGGCATGTGGTGGCCGAAATCGTTGATGCAGTGCTGGAGGCGTTCTTGGAAGTTCGCGTAGACTCTCTCCAACATCGCTCTCTCAACTTGGGCGACTTCCACGCGAATTTCGCCCTTCAATTCGTCCAGAGTTCGAGGCTTGTTCGCGTATACCTTGAGGTGTCCCCACAAGAAAAAATCGCATATGGATAAATCTGGGGACCGAGGAGGTCAATGAACATAGCCAAACCTGAAAATAAGGCGACCAGGGAAGAGAGGGCGAATAACGTCCATGGATGCTCGGGCTGTGTGGGCGGTCGCCCCATCCTGCTGGAACCACACACGTCAGATTGGAACACGTCGCCGTCATAATTCAGGGAGAAATAAGTTGGTGATGATGTTGACGTAGCGCTCTGAGTTCACGGTAACATCATGACCATTACCGTCTTCGAAGAAGTAAGAGCCAATGATGCAAGTTTGCGATACAGCGCACCAAACCGTTACTTTTGGGCTGTGCAGCGGTCTTTCGTGTAACTGTTGCGGATTTTCATTAGCCCAATAACGACAATTCTGCTGGTTAACCATGCTGTTTAGGTGAAAGTGGGCTTCGTCACTCATAAACCAAATGAGGTTCTCATTTTGATCGATCAGTGCTTCCATCTCACGTGCGAAGTTCATTCGTTGTGCATAATCTCCGGGCTGTAACTGTTGCATAATGGGCAATTTGTAGGGGTGAAAGCGGAGATCCATATGCAAAATTCGACTGCGAAGAAAGACCTGTCGAACGCGTTCAACATTTTCAGGAGTTCGAACTGTTCGCGGCGCTCCTCTTGGTCTTCTGTTGATCAGTTCACCACGCCTGCGAAGTGATTCAACCCAACGAAGGATGGTGTGTCTAGAGGGAACAGCTCTATTCCGATGAATGTTGAAGTGGCGACGAAACTCACGCTGTACGACGATGACTGACTCGGACGAAACAATCATAGGCGAAAACGCGGTGTTCCACCGTCCAAGGCTCCATAACGACAACTAGTAAAATAATGCTAGGATCTCACGAGTCAAACGGCACCCTCCCGCCTCTCTCGTAGACGGAGGCGGAGAGTACTACCCATCCCAAAAACGGCCGTCCTCTCGGCCGCACCCTGTACAACAAGGGCCGTTGCGAACCAGTAGTTTGATGATGCCAGAAGGTCAATAACAATGAGGACAGTTTATCGCCGAATAAGATCTTTTGGATTCGCTTTCTATATATATATATATATATAAGTAGACCTAAAACTTGTAAAGGTATGCTCAAAGTTACAGCACTCCTAGTCGGTGTTGCATTTTCTATGTTATTCAGTATACTTTGTCGATTGTACCACATCTTCCACATCCTAGGAATACAACTAATAATCATAAGCGCGGCGAGTCCATCTAGAAGGTCGAGATATTAGCAGTACCATGAAGAGTTTCACCAGCTCTTCGGAGTCGACCCTTGAAGGGCAAAGTTATTTCAGTTCACCAGTAAATTAACCTCACACACTTGATAGTCTCAGTATTTGCCAGGAGATATATATTTACCTATCTATAGATGAAATGTGCTGCGGATATTGATCAATGCCGCATAGGTCATACCACAAGAATAAATGGTCACTTACGATCTATTTGTAGCCTCACGCACGATGTTATTGACTCAATAGATATGCATCTCATGTTTTTTTGATAGACGAGGCTCTCTTCGAGATATTATATAATTAATTTTAAAAGTTTTCTACAAGACCACCCAACTAGCAAAGTAGTGCTATAAGCTTTTGGTAAAAGAAGCGTTCAACCATAAAAGCTCTCTATTGTTGCTGCCTGAACACCAAAATGCTGGCTTAATATTGTGTGTAATGCAACTTTGCTTTCTGCACCATATTAGCTCTAAAATGAGGTGTTTAAAATATTCTTATAGCATAGTTATACAGCACCTTATAGGACAAATTTTTAACTGTTGCATAAAGGTTTATACAACTATTTTATACGGCATATTTGCACGTTAGTCAAAATGGTTGTGTTGTGGCATCCATGGTAAGGTTTATAAAACAAACCCGAGCCTTGTTGTTTGGCTGTGCAAATTTACTACTTTAGCCAACAAATTGCTCCCAACGGAAGCACTTATACAACTGTCGTTTAGTAACTGTTAAAGGCTGTACATATGCAACAGTATTACAACTTTTGTAGTACAAAATTGCTGTGCCCGGTATACATTTGTTGCTAAATATGTTGGTATAGGACTTCACCATAACCTAACTTTCTGCTGTCATATTTTTGTTAAAATGCCATGACCAATGTTTCAAGACAAACAACGCATGCATATTGGTTCAAAAGGTTTTATCAACTGTTCAAACAGAAGATATAGATCTGGTACAAATTCTGGGTAAATCATTCGACTCTGTCGGTATTTCATTTCAGACATTTGTCAATTTGTTGTATAACACCTGCAGGCATCATCAAAATGTTCTAATAAACTAAAGACAACATGGACGATGACGATACCATGATTATACGAGTACACAACCACCCGCCATATTGGGCAAACATTTATTCCTCCATTTTGATATTAAATAATTATGTTTCAGTTCGAAATTACAGATATAAAGTGATAAACATTAGTGCAATTGTGTCTAAATATACGATTTGTGGAAGTTATCGCAGATAAGTTCATTTTTCCATCTTAAAAATCTAGACATACTTTTGATCATTATTAAAATATGAATTAAATACGAAGCCAGTAGAACTGCGTAACTAATTTGCACGATAATCACAATAAAATTTGCTGCGCAAGTAATTCAATAGCCCTATATCACAGTGTAGGAGTTTATCATATACCTGTGTATGAAATTCACAATGGCCGATATGTAAGTAAACAAGATGACTGCAATGTGTTAGTTATATATTCTTCACTTCGTCTATACAATACATAAGAAATAGTTTGGTTGCAATAAAGTAGAATCACTTAACAGACTAGTTGTATAGTTGACAAAAACTGAATCTTGCATTGACGCAAATGTCCTATAGCGGCTGGAAGAGGCTTACACTTTTGTTGTATAACTGTTACCTGCAGTCCTTATACAACCTCTTAAATAAGTGAAGTGTCCTATTAGGTGTGCCCATTCCGCTTGTATAGCTGTTCTAAGAGGGTTTTGCCAATGTTCTTACAGTATACAATGCTGTATAAGGAATACTGTATAATCATTCTTGCAACTCTAACAGGAGTGATAATTGTTAGTTGGGCACATACATAGAAAACAATAAAAATCCAAAATTTATGTGGTTGGTTTTTTAAATTTAAACCAGTCCATAAAACAAATTTGAATAAAGCCTCATAAATTGTTCATTGTCACCCAGCTGTATCAGCGCGCATTTTTATCAGACAATAATTGCACGGTGGGGTTCAAATTTTGCTGACGTCGTAATGTGTACGAGAGAGAAGCACGAGAGGCGGCAATGTGTAAGTTAGAAAGAGTGCGTCGATAGCAAAGCGCCCTGCCGCAGCTGCGTCACTCGGGTTGCTAGGCAACGAGGTGTACCTAACTCTTTCTAACACACGCATTGCATGCTTCTTGCGCCTCTTCCTCATACATATTCGACGTCAATAGTACATGGATTTCACTGTATATTATTTCCTATGTTACAATTCGAAGGCATACGACTAAATATCGGAATACTCCAAAATCTAGGTAATATGCCATTCTTTTAGAAAGAAGTTTATATAAAAACTCAAGAGTATCGAAAAATAAACCTAATCGTGTAAATTATTAGCTAATTATTTTCCTTTTTTTTTCAGTTTTACACTATGCCAAACCGACATGTAGAAGAAGTTTTGGAAGAGCAGACCAGACAGCTTAGTATAGCTAGCAGAAACTGCATGAATCAATATGGAAACAGTGTTGGGGATAAGTCGCAGAATCCGTACTACAATACAACAACAAAAAGTAAGTGCGTAACACCTATGAAAATTTGAATCAAGTAGATTGGCTAAGTATTCCAAATGCATTAATATGCGAAACCAGCAAAAGTTCTCTTTTGGCGATTTCGGGTCTTTTATAACAAACAATAGATGGAGAAATCCAATACAGAAGTAGTATAAGTCCAGAAGGCTCTGTTAGTAATATCATTGTAACGAATAAGTCTACGTTCAATCAAACAAATTGTGTCATGCAGAAATAATACTATAAGTACAGAAATCTTTATTAGAACTTTTTAAGCGACATAAGATCATTTTGTGTGATAGGTTAGAGCTATTTATGAAGAGGTAGGACATATCACAGTTCTGACGTCTTGACTACGCATGTAGACTTGACATTGCTTGTAACCACTTCATAGGTACAATGGAAAAGGTGAAGAGTGTTTTGTAAAGAAACATTCGACTTCATATGATGTCGTTGGGACGACCATGCATTTTGAGGTTATAAATATGTTTATTACTTAAAATGAGATTACACTCAATAAATGAACATGAGGCTAAGAGCAAAAAGCGCCACGCGCTTCATAGGCCAGACAGTTTAAGCAAGAAAAGTCTATGCAATACTGAAACGAGATACAGTCAGAGAAGTATGCAATAATTATGTATGGACAGCTACTATGAATGAGAGTGGCCAAATTATATTATAAGTGTTTTACAGGATACACAACCAACTCCAAATTAAAATTTCCTGAATTTAGGTATCCATTATCCAACCATTAATATTGATGTTATGCTGATATGTATACAAACAGTGAGGACCTGTTTGTTTATTTTTCGCGGCTTCAAACAATTCCCATAGAACGCGTATTCCGACTCTTATGAAGTCGTAACTTACCTACAACAGTTCTGTTCTACAGATTTCAACTGTAAATACTTTCGGAACAGTAAGCTATGTATATCCACGATTTTCTCTCAATAAGTATGTCAAAGCAGTTAAGGTGCATTTTCGAACATACTGCCGGTATACAGGTTCGTTAAATTGATGCGCTACAAATATACACGCGTTTAGCATTAAATTGATATAGGTGGAACAGGCCACACTAACGACTCACGTTCGGTGAGAAACATGTCAAGTTCGCGAACGTACTAGTTAAATCGAACGAGTCTTATGACTGAACTAGGTGAACTAGTTCACCACACCTCGAAAAAATCGGTCACTCGTTCACCATGAACGTCTAGTATTACAGGATTCCAAAGCTCCAAACTAGTTGTGAGCCAAGGAATGAGAGCGACATAAAAGACGGGGAATAACCGGAGGCAGACCAGTATAACTGGTTGCCGGGATTTAATCGTAGTTTAGGATACCGAACAAAACAAAGTTAAGTTATTTAATAAGATAATAAAAAATACTGAAAGTTGCAAAGATTGGCAAAAATAAAAATTGAGTAACTTTTATACAAGATATGTACCCAATGAGTCATTAGGCTCACTGGATAATATTTGAAAGAAATGGGTAGAAATCAAACTAATACCCAAATGAAAATATCAAGTAACTATGCATTTCCATTTGAAAACATGATTTTTTGAACTGTATCGGCTTCTCTGGTCTATTTCTTTCTTTTTTTATTACTCAGCCCTCAAAAAAATTACTCTGATATCGTTATAAGACAGAAACGTTATTTAGCCATCTCAAATAATCTGGTGTGGACTTTTGCCCTTTCCTGCCACCACTTCAGGGGATCCTCTCTTCACTGTAAAAGCGGTTCATTAAAATATTTATCTACTTCATCTTCATCTGGGTCTTGTTCAACTAACTCAAAGTCAGGATCACCCAAGTTCTTCGCAACATTATGGAGTACAATACAAGCAATAATTATTTTCGGTACATTTTCCAACTTTACGCGGCAAACACAGGATAGGAAACCGGCATTTCAGTTGGCCGAAACAGCGTTCAATTATAACTCTTTCGTGTTTTAAAATTTTATTATAATTTATTTCTGCATCTGGAGTACGACTTTTGAAGGGAGTCATAAGACATGGCTCAATACCATAACCGTCATCGCCAAGTACTACAACATTTGCTTTATGTATTAGTTGTGATCTAGTCTGTGAGTATCTCTATATTCTGGAATCCTGCACTGATCCAGGCCAACTGACATCAATACTTGTGAACATGTATCTGGCATCACAAGTGGCTTGCAGATTTAAAGTAGGTTTCCCTTTTCGGTTGATATACTCATGTAGATGGCGATTTGGTTTCAGGATTCCTATATGTGAACAATCAATTACACCAATTGCTGTCGGAAATTCATACATGCTTTGCCATATCCTCTTGGCCTCCATCAGTTCATGGTTGGTAGTTGGAAACTTAATCCATTCGTTCCACTGTGCAACTATGCTGTTCACAACTCTATGCACAGTCCGAGATATCGTTGCTTGACTAAGTTCCTGACCAATACCTTGTTAATATCCAGGGTCACTGAGATAGCGTAGACATATATTCATTTTATGAATACATGAAGGTGCTCCTCCTCGAGTTTCCTCGTTCTCAACTGAAAATCTGTCCGCAAGCCATTGTACATTTGCTTCGTCGAACCGATATAATGTTTTGAAGTCATGACCAAGTGAAGGTAAACGAGGTTTGTACGTTTTAACATCCCTAACATTCAAAATTTCCGCCATTATCGTTTGACCACCTTTCGTTACGAAGTTGAGTCTGCTACTGACCACACTCGGAATTTTTAAAGGATATGCTTCCTATGCCAAGTATAAGGTGAAGATTATGAATATCCTATTACTTATGTCACTGCTTTGAAGGATATGCTTGTACTCAAAAAGCAGAAGCATTTACTTCAAATTATTAAAAATACCATCTGGAGGATTTCCTTCAAAATTTGCAAGTACAAGGATAACCTTTGTTTTATGAATATGGCTCATTTAGTAACTCTGTTCGTTCTTATTCTCTAACAATACTGACCATACCTCTTATGTCAAATACATTCAGTTGTTTCCCACGTATACAAAGTGAAATGAGAATGTCCAGGCCGTTAGTATTGTCTTTTCTTATTGCATAAATGAACATAAGCTATAAAATTCAGTCTACATAATTCTAACTACGCACCTTTTTACTCCAACTACCACGAAAGCCTAAGGCCTAAACACTTATTTGGTACCGTGGAGCTATAGGGGGATACAGGGGAAAGGGGGAACGCCACACGGACTCTGGCGAGGGAACACGTGTGCATGCAACATGCACACATTCTGGCTCCGCCTACGAGATCCGCCGGGTGGTACCTTCACGTTCGATAGTCAGAGACCGTCTACTACCTACGGACAATCACAAAATCTATAGCTAAGAGAAACATTTCTCCTGGGACGGGATTCAAACCCGCACAGCGCACGGCGACTGATCAGGAGACCGAAGAGTCTACTACTGCGGCCACCGCTGCTGCCTTGTGTTGCCTATAGGTGACACTCCCTTAAAATAAAGCGGAGGTAATTCCACTGGTTTTAACTTTTTCTGTATTGACCACATTAATATTTAAGCCATTTTAGCTAGAGAGAGGCACTAAAAATGCCCATCAACCTTTACATGAGAATTGATGAGTTAGAAAAGTGGTTTCAAAGCTTTTGAGTAGTTTTTAGCAATGCAATACATAACAAAAAAAAATAAATACGTGACATCATAAATTCGGAAATTGCAATACGTCTAAAGTTGAACCTATAATTTATGAAGGCGTTATGAAATGGTTAGGTTCCTAACCTGCTAAATCCAATCAAGTTTATCTGAACTTAGGAACTGGATTATTGAGGGATGACTATGGAAATGAAACCTTTGAAATGATTAGCCCCGATATTAAGCAAAGGGCCAATTTAAGGGATTAATATGATAAATATTCAAAAGAGCCCAGTATGAATCGGTTCCTTATAGAGCCAAGTCGATTAAACTTTTCAATAATAGCGGGTTTGTTAATCCAAAGTATTAATCGATTAAATATTGACTAAATCTTACTGTTTTACTTCCAATTTTTAACTTATAACGTATGTTCGAAAAGTTTTGGCACAAAATTCATTGGCTTTAATTTTAACAAACACAAAATGATACATATCAAGTTGTCTTTGGAAGCAAAAGTTTGCTTACTCACTTTACTGTTAGTTGACATTAATTTGCTTTGAAGTTTCCGATTTAAGATGTGGTACAAATTAGAAAAAGTACCTGATTGAAAACGTTTCACACAGAAGCATTTATCGAACAATAGCTGAGTACGAGCAGGGAATATCATATCTGAATCTCCCAAAAAGTGAAAGACCAGGTCAGAGAGATTGCGGAGAAGAGGAACAAATCAGGTTGGAATGTCAACAAGGAGACTGGCATGTCAATACAGATCTTCTAGCTGTACGATATCGTTGGAATTGAGAAGGGATGGTCTTGAATATCGAAAGAGACTTAAGTGCCCCAAATACCCTCAAGCGCAACTCCTTTGTATACTAAGATGCTGTCGTAAACTGAGGGGGAGGCTAGGGAGGCTTGAGTCAAGGGGGAATGAGACACCACATTTATTTCCTAAAGTCGGGTAGGCAGAGCCATCTGTTAGTTACTGGTTAATAACTTTAGTCAAATCTCTTACCGTTTTGTCAGCGAACCGGCGAGAATAATTAGTAGAACATTATTGTTAGTGCAGGTGCAAAATGGCTGCCAAAGCTAAATTTTAATTTTGTGATATCGTTGTAGTTTGAAGGAAGTTAAAGTGAAAATTCGAGTTGCATTGTGACCTCGGGTATGTTGTGAATTATTTATATAATTATGCCATGAAATAGAAGTTTAACAAGAATTTTGGGTTAGATTGTTTTATGAAATGCTACATACGGAGACATGAGACAGCTGTTTTGGGGAGACATGAGACGTCTCATGCCTCCCTATGTAGCGTTTTATAAAATCATCTAATCTAAAATTCCTGCTAAACATCTGAGTCACTGGATTAATAGTATTTTTTACACAATTAAAAAATACTGACCTGATTGAGAAAT